TACACTGCTGAGTGAGGGGAGCAGTGGGCTGCAGGAGAGGTCTGTGCACCATGTGGGACCCTTGACCGGCCACCAGGGATTGAGCCGGCGCTGCAGAGGCTGCGGGCAGCTTTGCAGCCCAGCGCTCAACCACTGCGCCACCAGGGGAGGCCCAAGAATGATTTTAAAACAACACTTTTGGTTAAATTATAGTTAGTGAGTAAAAGGGGAAAAGCTTAAGGCAGGCGACAGAATATTGAAAGGTAACGTAACAACACAACATGGAACTGTGCAGTGACTTTTCACTCTTAGGAGAATTTACTAATAATTGAGCTTTAGTTTGGAATTGCGGGGGGGGGGGGGGGGAGGGACCCAAGGTAATTAAAGCAGAGAAATGTGAGGAGATAGTAACTAGTGTAATGAACAGAGTTTGCAGGTTCAAACCAAAGTAGTTTTCAGGATATTGAAATTTAGAAAAATGTGATCCCTGAATGTCAGGTCAAGAAAACATGGAGAATGAGCGTAGCCTGAATGCTGGAAAGCTGATTCTCCCCCACATTGAAAGATGTGATTCTAAATTTGATGGCACAATACACAGATTACAAAACAGGCCATCTCCTGTTGAAGCTAGTGGGGTCAGAGGTAGAGTCCGCTGAAGTAGATTGAGATTTCATCAGGCTGTGCCTGTACTGTAGTGTGCGGCTAGAGACGTGTGCACGATGAAACTGGGGGTGAATCCTCGCCTCATAGGTGGTTGCCCCCAGAGAATGTCCGCTGGTAGGTTAACTTCAGTCTGAAGGGATATGACTAGTGGAAAACATCTGGGAAAGAAAGCTGAGTTGTCTGCTGGTGTCTTAACCAACAATTGTGCAAATATAGATGGGGGTTTGGCCGCACCACATGTCAGCAGCCTGTGCAGTGGGAGAGCACGTGGAACTGGAAGTGGGCGGCCCTGGTCCCATCCCTGTGGGGGGCAGTGTGGTGTGGTGCAGGGTTTCACGTTGTCAGAGGACATAGACAAATGGAGTATGCCTAAATGAAGGGAAGGTATAAAGCCATGCCATTTTACAACTTGGAGAGATTGTCAAATGAAAGAAACATTTGACCTATTTTTAAAAGCTTTGAAGAGTGGAGTGGGGGCCATTGGGAGAAGATTTAGTAAAGACTTTGCCTTAGTAAACTTTGTAATAGTTAAGGACTTCAGAGATGTCTAAAACAAATTGTCTTGACATTGGGGCTGTTTTGGTATTACTGTAAAGGGTATTTGTATACAAGGTGGTAAAACACATGGTTCTGAACTTTTGGATCTCTGAACCATGGCTGCAGGTTGATGGCGGTCCTGTGAAGATGGGGGCATCTAAGCACAGTCATGTTGTGTTTCGTACACCACACGCTGGAAAGGAAGTGACCCTGTGTTTTATAAATGAACACTTCTATCTCTCCATTTATGAAAAGGTTTGATTATTACCCATACCCATGGCATGTTTTGTGATAATTAGGCTATGATCATATAAACTTAATAGGAAGATATTAACAGAAGTTCTGCTTGCCAGAACTTATGGAATGAAAAGCCTTGGAGAGATGACAAATTCTTTTAATTTTTTTTAAATTGTGGCATAACGTTAGTTTACATCATTGTTTGTATTATGTATTACTGACACAGCACACACAAGCGTCTGTGATCCACTCCCTTAGTCCTTTGAGCTCCTTCCTAAAGACAACTTTTTTTAAAAAAAGATTTATTTATTTATTTATTTATTTATATAAGCACTGGGTACAGTCAGTAGCGCAGGAGGGTGAGAGAATTCACCAGAGCCAGAGCGGGGAGCAGAGCAGGCAGAAGGACCGAAGGACACTGCTGAGGGGAGCAGCGGGCGGCAGGAGAGGTCTGCGCGCCATGTGGGACCCTCCCCTGGTGGCGCAGCGGTTGAGCACTGGGTTGTGAAGCTGCCCGCAGCCTCTGCAGCACCAGTTCAATCCGGGGCGCCGGGGGGGACAACTTTTTAAAAAACATGGGGTTATGTAGGAAATTAATAAATGGTTGGAAATCAGTGAATTTGGTTAAGTCACAACAGACTTTAATTATAGGAAGTAGAGGATCAGCGAGATTAAGATATTTGTCTAAAATCATACAGTTACTATTTGAACTGGAATCAGAACTTGTCCCACTTGAGTGCTGTAAGTAACGTCCCAAGAAGTGCTGATGATTTCTTGGCTGGAAAAGTGCCGTTGGTAAAAGTCACACTAAACTGGTTAGATTCCACGGTGAGTAAGTCTCAGTTCCTTGAGAACCGGAACGACGTCTTCCTCCTCCTTTCTTCCCATCAGTGTTGTCTTGTGGGTAATTTGTGTTCTACTATTAAAGTGAGTGCGCTGTCTCAGAGACGGAAAGAAACATGGCAGGACTGCTTCTTGCTTTAGGAGAGAGTAAGTGTCCTGATCACATTGTTTGTGCCCATCCTCCTCTTCCTTAGAAGACAAAGGTCAGCATTTCTTTCCTCTTAGGGCTCCTGGGGTCCTCCTGACCTTAGCACCCTATCGCAGAGTTGACGATTCCCTGCCTTTGTGTTACCACGGTTTTGGATCTGTCCATTTTAACAGTTTTTACGCCTTCCAGTATCTCTTTGCTCCTGTACCTTTCATAAGAGGCTGAATTCTTGGAGAGCTGGAACCGCGACATGTTGAGTTTCATGCTCTAGAATCTCTCTCCCACCTCCCTTCAGCCACCCCCACCCCCACCCGCTGAAGTGCAGCGAGTATTTTCTGCACCCCCACAGTGTTCCAGTCCTTATTCTAGGATCTGGGGTTAGAGGGGTTAATAGAACCTTCATGGCGCTTTCTCTTATGAATCAAAGAATCCTACAGATGTTTATAAAATACCACTTATGTGGTAAATGTAGCTTTTCTTCCATTACATCTTTTGATCAAATATGTGAGAGGTTACTGGCTTTAGTATATGTATATGTTATTTTAATGTAGCATTCTGCTTTGAATTTTGTTTTTATTTGATTCCCTTGGTTTTTGTAAGTTTGATGGATTCGTTTACCTGGAAAATAATTCCCCTTCAATCTATGTGTTACTTTGATTACTTCCATATTTTAAAATACTGAGTTGTTCTTACATTTATAGTTGTAAATTCCACTTGGTTTTAGTGCTTTTTTGTTTTTTTTGGAGTCTATTTAGGATGTTTGCATCTATATAAGCAAGTTTTAGCTGTAGTTTGCTTTTAAGCTGTTGTCAGGATTTTTTTTAATCAGTATTTTGCTGACTTCATAACAAGAATTGGGCAGTTTGTGAAGAGGAAACTTACGTGTAGTCACATAATACTGAAAGTGCTTTTATTCAGAGACCTATAAATTATTTCTTGGTGGCTGAAAACTTGACTTAAAAATTGTTGTCATGCTAATTTAACAAACACTAATTTGATACTGGACATCTTTGGAAGACTTCATTATAAAACTTGAGAGTTCTAAACAAGTCTTTAAGAAAACGTGTTCCCCTTAAAATATAGTTTAAAATCCTTTATTTCTTAAAAATATTCATTTACTGTTCAAAGATAAACATTTGATAAGCTTTGACAAGCAAATTGTTAAGAGATGAAATTTGTTATAAAATGAATATTGCCATTACCGAAGCCGAAAATATATTATTTTGTGGCATTGCCACTGATTAAGACCTTTCAGCTGGGTAAGAACACCTTTGATCGTGCCTTTTTTGCTGCGTTGGGTTTTACTTAACTGAAAATGATTTAAATAACTAGTTAAGGAAATTAAAATATGCTTTCATGTTTGGTAGTTATTTAAATAGCAGTGCATTAACATTCCATGTTTGGAAGGCATACAAAATACATTTCAAAATTACAAGGCATCTTATTTTAAACACTAGTGGACACGAGCCTTTTCATCAAGGAGCACACAGTGCACAGTGTGGAGAGGCCGTTACAGAGGCGCCCCGCTAGCGCGGGGACGGCAGCTCTTGTGAGACGTGGCTTTCAGCGGTCAGGGCCAAGCCGCTAGCACGCTGGGAGCCTTAGAAAGGGTGCTTGAAATACTCAGTATCTTTGTATAAGACTTGATTCATTAAAATCTATTCTCATAGTTTTTGTAAAAGAAGTATATTTATACCTGGGAACTAGTAGGTTTTTTTTTTTTTTTTTTTAAGAGAACATTGACTTCAGGTGTCTGTGCTTTCTTATGTTTTATTCATTTGCTCTTTGCTTTGCATCTTCTCTGATCACTGCTCAGTTTGTGGTCGAACCCAAGGTGCCCAGTTGTGTTCTTACCGCTCACCATTTGACGCTGTTGATAATGCTGCCCCTAAATCTGGTGTGTGTTTCTTTGCCGCCACTTGTCCCTTCCTTTTTCTGTCTGCCTCCATTTCTACTTGACTCTTCTTTTCGTCAGTCCTTAAATGTTGCTTTTTCAAGTTTCCTTCCGTCTTTCCTCTCCCTGTACTTGGCTTTAAGACATTGCTTCCATTTCTGCACCTTAAACTCCTAAATTTGTGTATCAGGCTCAGCTCTACTGAACTCACTGTCTATTGAACATCTCTGTTGGAGTAGCCCAATCCCTAAAATCACTAATGAAATGTCCGATTTAAATCTTCTTTGGACAGATTAATTCTGAGGTATGAGAGAGCTTCAGTATTCGTTTGGTCTGACACACATGCTGATGATAATTGACTGACGCTATCCTTTGGAAATAAGGACTGACCTCATGTGGGCCCGGAGACATTAGGTGAAATAACAGGTCTGTGCCGTCGTGGATGGGAACTCTGGCTCCCAAGTTAGTTCTGCTGAAGTAAATGCTTTGGTTGGCATCCATTTGGTTTCTGGTAGAAATTAACTCAGAATGTGTTCGGTTAAATGAAGCAGTAACCAGGCCAACAATTCTTTGCTTCTTTGAGTTTTAACACTCACCATTGAAATCCTCCCCACCCTCTTTTTTTTTTTTTTTTTTCTTTCTCCTGATTAGCAAGAATACTTTCTCGTCTAACACGTTTAAAATTTTTACTTTTAACAGAAATCAGCAGAGTCCGGAAAGACATGTACAACGACACGCTCAACGGCAGCGCAGAGAAGAGGAGCGCAGAGCTGCCCGATGCCGTGGGGCCTGTTGTTCAGTTGCAAGAGAAACTCTATGTGCCTGTAAAAGAATACCCGGATGTAAGTATATTTTGTTGTTTTATTCTTTTTTTTCCCGTTTGACATATTTTGGGATGAGCTATAGCAGGTGGCGACTACTTAAAAGCATTGTCAGCCTCTTAACAGTATTTTCATGTGTGGAACTGGAAGTGTAATAACTTGGCATGGATAATTTAAAAAATTTAAAAAATGTTTTCATGTGAATGCTGCTCTGACTTTTGGAAATGCACATAGTAAAGACTTGGTTTTACATTATAATTTGGGACTGGAATTATGGAGAGGATTTGGCTGTGAATGTCAGAGAGCACAAGTACAAGTCTGCTCTCTTTGACCTGACCTCAGAGAAGCCATCATCTGTGCTCTGTCACCTTTTCAGTAAGATGAGGGGTTGGGTGCTGACAGCAAGTTAGCACCTTTCACCTCTAAAATTTTTGTGATAATCAGTGTATTTTATTGTTTTTGTTTTCATCTTTGTCTTTTGCTCAACAGGTTTTCTTGATAAAGTTTGTTGTGAATAACCACCTCGTTACCAGTTAACATGCCAATGAATCTATAAATAGATCCAGAGTCTGCCTTTTGTTACACATCACTTCATAAGGTCCTTTCTGTCTCTCTGACTTAAAATGAGTCCCAACTTCTTCGGTGTACTCTGTCACCTTGGTCCTTATAGGTTGATCCTGACTTAAGGACCTTATGTTAGTTGGACACCCATCTCTACTTGCTGGCTGCTTCTTATCATTAAGATTTAAACTTAAATGTCACTTCAGAGAGCCACCCTTGGCTTTTTATCTAGAAGCCATCTGACTACCTGTTTTGTATAACTTTCCATTTCTCCACAGTACGGCTTATTCTCTGTCATATTTCTTGCTGTTTATTTTTCTGTCACCCTAACAGAATGTAAAGCACACGATCCTGTTTTTGTTATTCGTTGCTGCATTCCAATATGCATCATTTTGCCGCATAGTAGGCATCTAGTACCTGTTGAATAAGTAATGGAAAACTGGTGACTTCTTGTTCCATTTCAGAGGACTTTCTGAAAATGCAAGAAGCAGTTGATATTTTAAGGTTAAAAAATGTGATGTGTGCTCTAGATTCATTGATTATGTGGACAGGATACTTGTTTGGAGATGGGAAATGAGTGCCTTACATTGGAATTAATGGGGAAAGCTTTTGTCTCTCACAAGTTGCATTTCCAGTGCAGCTTTCTTTAAAGCTAATGCATTTACTGTATAAGTCATTTTGGTTGTAAATATACAAATAGTTCTGGATAATAGAGGCAAAAGAAAGCTTGTTGGGATATAGTTGGGTGTTGTACAGAGGATTAAAGGAAGAGCTGGAACACAAAACCTCAGGCGAGACAGGAACAGGTAGCCCAGGACCTCAGCAGTAGGATTTTGGACGTTGTTTGTTCACAACCTTGTCCTCCACGTAACTTACACGTGCTTCTCAGAGTTTACCTTCAAACTTCAGATTGCTGGGAGAGTGAGGGGGTTTCGGACCAATCGTGATGATTCGCAATGTCTACACATGATTCATGGGCCCAACTGGGCTTTGGGATGTTTCCTGCAGGTGCAAAACTGCTTTGGAGCAGCTGTTCCAACTGGAACCTGTTGTTTCAGGATCTCCTAAAGAATGTCAGCCTTCTTGTTTGCTTGTTGAATGAAACTCTAAAGGGTAAAATTTCAGCACTAGTGATTAACAGAATGTGTGTTACCATAAGATAATGTTGGAGATTGTAACCTTAATCTGCCTGGTTCCTGTGCTTTAAAAAAAAAAAAAAAACTCCTATTCAGGGATGAAATATATTTATGTTGCATTATTAAAAGACATATGTTCCATGCAGTCAGAAGGGATATATTTTATGGTGTGGGCCCAGAGGGAGTTCATTTTCACCATATTCCTATCATTTTGCTCTTTGAGATTCATTGCCATGGTCGACTACAGTTGTTGACAGGTGTTTTAGGGCATGAAGTCGTCTAGATTCTTAAAATGTGGTCCCTGAGCTACGCTATCCTCACCTCCTGGGGACTTGTAAATAAATGCTTATGCCCCAGCCAGCCTAGATGAGTTGAATCAGAAAGTAGTGGTGAGGCCCAGGAGCCCTCCTTTCAAGCCCCATGGATGTTCTGACACAGGCCGAGTTTGAGAAGTACTGCTCTCATTTGTGTAGGTCATCAGAAAAGGGGGCTGAGGCATGACCGTATGTGTGGTCAAGCCAGGTGCTGCTGCAGGATGCAGGTAGCACGTGAGCTAAGATGTCTCTGCTCTCAGGGAGCAGGTACTGCAGGGGCAGCGACAGACAGTAAATTAATGTCAACTTTTGGTGCAGAGGGTATTATGGAAAAAAATAAAGTGGGATGAACAGATAAATTGTGGTTTTGGTGGTGGAGGTGTTTATTTTTAAGTGCAGTCAAGGAAGGAATCTCTTAGAAGTTGAAGAGGATGCAGAGACATAGTCGGGGAGAGGTAGGGAGGGAAGCATGAAAATCATCTAGTGGAAGAACATTCCAGGTGTGGTGAATAGCATGTGCAGTGACGCAGTCCTGAGCATGTGGGCATGTGTGGTAAAATGTGAGAGTAGAGAGTTAGTGGTGGAGGCAATATTATTTCGGGCCCTGAGGGGTTTTAGGTACTCTTCTGAGTGAAATGGGGAGTCGTTCAGATGTTTGGAGCCAAGGAGTGACATTAGCTCAGTTGGGTCTGAATAGATTTGTTCTGAGTGCTGTGTGGGGAAAGGCTGTGGGCACTGGTGGCAGCAGGACCTCAAGTAGGGGGCAGACGAGGAACTTGAACAAGAGGACTTAAAAGTGCTTGGTGCTGTACAGATTGTCCAGTTAGAGCCAGTAGGATTTTCTGATATATTGAATATGGTGTGTGAGGGAGAGTAAAGAATAATTTTGATCAGATTTGATCAGGTGGAGTAATGGAATCACCAGTTTGAGCTAGAAAAGAATGAGGAAGGGCAGATTGGGAAGGTGGGAGTTCAGCAGTTCTGATGTAGAGTTGTTGAGTTTGAGTCCAGATACTCACATTTGGGCTTGTCAGTGGGCAAGCTGGTGTATGGGTTGTAAATGACTCTTGGCACCCAAAAATGTCTGTCTCACTAATAAGTCTTTTAATGAGACATTTAGTTATATGATAGGAAGAGAGAAGTAGGTATAAAACCATTTTGATCCTCCCCATAACTTTTTTAATACCTTGATTTTTCTGTTAAAAGAATTTAAGTTTAACAAAATTGAGATCTGCATATAATTTCACAGTTTTTATTTTTGCGTAGAAGAGCTGGCAGATAGGCCAGAGGTGCAGGGGTCGAGAGGATTCCCCAGAGTCAGAGTGGGGAGCAGAACAGGCGAATCCACTGAAATCCACTGCTGAGGGGAGCAGCGGGGAGACAGGAGAGGTCTGCCGCACCCTGTGGGTCTCCCTGGCTGGGGATCGAACTCAGGGGGTATAGGTGATAGTCCTGAAACTCGACCCCTAGACCACCAGGGAGACCCAACATACAGTTTTACTTTTTTGAGGTTATTAGTACATACCAAATGAAAAGTGACTGTTTCATGGTATATATCAGGAACTTGATTGCACTTAAATTTTTTTTAATAGTATTAAAATAAAAGCAGTCTGTGTCAGATTTTGGCAGTGTGGATAAAGACTTAAATTTCAGATTTATGAATTAGATATTGGCCACAGTGAAACAAATACACGTTGTACTTACCCTTGCTTTTCTTCACTTAATGTATTTAGACATCATGTGTGTCTCTCCCTCCCCCCATTTGTATATAAGCTTTTTTTTTTTTTTTTTTTGCATGAATTCATCTGCTATGCCTAGAAGGGGCTTTTGCTATAAAGCTTCACATGGGAGTGTAGCATGGTGTTCAGAAGTATGGACTCAGGCCCAGAGCCCTGGCTGACTTGTTACTTGTTTTTTATTTTGGGGGCATATTACTTGTCATTCTGGTCCCCAGTTTTGTTATATCTGTAGTGGAGATAGCAAGTCTCTCACAGGGTTGTGAGGATTGAGTTTATATATGTCAAGTACTCGGCAAGTGCCTTTATGCTGTAGTTGTGTCACTGCAGTGGAAACTCCACAAAGGGTGTGCACTCTGACAATTTTTATGTTTCCATTGACTAGCCTAGTGTCTGGTAGATGGTTAGCGCACAGTATGGATATGTTGGGTATATTTGTATGAAAGCCTCACACTTTAAAATATTGCTAAACTTTAACTTGTTTGTTTGCATTTGCACATGGCGACTTATTTCTAGAAGTGTGAAATTGGAGCTGGTGTTTTGGATCTGACTTTGTGTAGCCCAGGGGCCAGAGGAGAAGGAAGGCTTAGAGTCAGTGTTTGCAAAGTGAGGCCGGGCTCTGTCATGTCCATCCCGGTGTTTGTGAATTGGAAACTGAGTAATGTGGGAGTGAGAAGGCAGGGTGAGTAGCCCTCTGAACATGTATTGAAGTATTTTACAAAATTCCTATTATTAAAGTAGACTATTCTGTCTCTGCTGTGGACCGGACACTTCCTGGAGTGGGAACATTTATTCAGTTGAAAAAAACTCTGATATAGTCAAGATAATAGTCAGTTTTTGAGGCAGGCTGGCCTAGGTTTTGCTCCTGGCTTAGTTATACCTTTACTGGCTGTTTTTGTTAGCAGTTGCCACAGTAATGCTGCTACATATAATACACTACTGAAAACTCAGTGGCTTAAAATAACAAGAATTGGTTTCTGTGCTCTTGAGGTCTGTGTTGTGCTTAGGCCGAGGTTCTGCTGAATGTGCTAAGCTGAGGTCGACCTAGGCTGCTGCGGTGGGTTAGAGCTCCCTGCGTATGGTCTTGTTGGACTCGGGCCAGGGACAGTAGCCACTTGGAACCTGCTTTTTTCGTGGCAGGTCATGAAGGTGCCAGAGCTGAGCCACATTGCGTAAGCACATGTAAGGCTTCTGCTCTGTCCCATGCATTCCCATTCCTTAGTCCACTGAGTCTCAGCAGTGGATGATTGTGGCCCTTCAGGACATTTAGCATA